CTTTAAAATTACGTCCCCTTGTTATTGACCCTTCAATTAAGGAGAACAACTGCTTCCGATCCACCCTGTCCCTGCCCCTCATAACATTATGCACATTTATCAGGACCTCCTCAACCTTCAGTGCTCCAAAGAAACAATCCAAGCTTATCCAACCTCTTTTCATAGCTGAAATGCTCCATCCCAGGCAACATCCTGGTGAATCACCTTTGCACCCCTCCAGTGCAATCATGTTCTTCCTATAGTGTAGAGGCCAGAACTGCACATATTACTCCAACTGTTGCCTAATGAAAGTTCTGTACTGTTCTAATATGACCACCCTGCTCTTAGAATCTGGTTGAAAACTGTAAACTAAAATTTCATTGTGATTTATTGAAATTATTACTTAATAAATCACAATCTAAACTGTCATATAACTTTTGAATTATAGGAAAAATAAATTATCTGATAGCAAAATTATAAACAAAAATATTGATTTTTAATCCTTTTCATTCTCTTGAACAGGTTGGGAGAGTGGGCAAATCAATGGCAGATGTGGGTAAATGTGGGTAAATGTGAGGTTATTCACTTTGGAAGCAAAAACAAGAAGGCAGATTACTACCTGAATGGCTGTAAATTGGGAGAGGGGAGGGTGCAGTGTGAGCTGAGTGTCCTTGTGCACCAGTTGCTGAAGGTAAGCATGCAGGTGCAGCAGGCAGTAAAGAAGGCAAATGGTATGTTGGCCTTCATTGCGAGACGTTTCGAGTACAGAAGCAAGGATGTGTTGTTGCAGTTAGACAGAGCCTTGGTGAGGCCGCACCTAGAATATTGTGCACAGTTTTGGTCTCCTTTTCTGAGGAAGGATGCTCTTGTTCTCGAGGCAGTGCAGCAAAGGTTTCCCAGGCTGATTCCAGGGATGGCGGGACTGACATATGAGGAGACATTGACTGGGTTAGGATTGTTTTCACTGAGATCTCATTGAAACTTATAAAATTCTAACAGGACTAGACAGGGTGGATGCAGGGAGGATTTTCCCAATGGTGGGTGTGTCCAGAACCAAGGATCACAGTTTGAGGATTTGGGATAAGCTATTTAGGAGGGAGATGAGGAGACATTTTTTCACCCAAGGAGTGGTGAGCCTGTGGAATTCATTACCACAGGAAGTAGTTGATGCCAAAACATTGAATGTATTCAAAAGGCGGTTAGATATAGCAGTTGGGGAGAATGGGATCAAAGGTTATGGAGAGAAAGCAGGATTAGGCTATTGAGTTGGACAATCAGTCATGATTGGGCCAAATGGCCTCTTCCTGCTCCTATCTTCTATGTTTCTGTGTTTCTATGCTAATATAATTTGCACTGCACAACCTAAAAGTTACAGCAACAAAGAAGGCTTTACAGCGGTTAAATTTTTTGGTGTATGAAATTGTACACATTTGTGAACCAAACTGAGGATAAGTACAAACATATTGTCCTGATGGACAGAGTTCTGAGAAAGACTTTTATCATCACTCTACACCCTGCTCGTCAATCTCCTTCTGTGATATCCCTGGGCCTCCTGTTCTTAATTCCTTTTCCACTTCCATTCAGATCTTCCGAAACAGGCTGATCATTCTGGTGACTGAAAGAGAAAGCAACTCCTGCAAATATTTTTAAAACCTGAGTTTTTAGATTGCGCAATGGTTGCTGAGGATAGAGTTGGTGTTGGGGGGTGGCGGTGAGCAAGGGGATGGGATGCTTCTCGTTGAAAACTCTCAGAAGATGAATGGCCTGTTTCCACACTGTGAGGATTCTATGAATCTTAGATAAAAGTCAGTTCTATTACTCACACATCTGTCACCATGTCAACTGTCCAACGGATTTTGATGGTCACTTCGATACACAACTTCTAAATTAATCAAGGTGCTCACAGAATATATGTTTCACCATAAGTAGGAGTGCTGACCTAGGCTAAACTGCTTGTTTTAGAAAAGTACTGGTTTCTATTTACCTCTGTATCAAAGCATAGAACAAAGAAAGTTGAGTATTGGCTGACATTTCTGTTATACTTCAATACCAAGGGATCTGTTTACCCACTTGCAATAAATTTTAGTTCACTTTCAACACATTTCGCCCTAGTTTAGAGCAATGAGAATAGATCTGATACCACTATAATTACATATAACAACATTTTGAGCAATGGTAATTTTGAGGTTTTCACAACTTTGATGTTAAAATAGATGTTAATTTAGTAGTCAAATCTTAATAGTGTGCTACCTGGGCAGAGGACTGCAAATGTAAAATAACTTAAAGTAATTGTAAGGTAAATTGCACATGAAAAATACATGTCAAAGAAAATTGTTAATTCAATAACTATTATTGTCAGTGGGTGCAAAAACCACAAGAAACAAAGTTTTACACATGTAAATGTGCACTTTTTTTATTGTCACAAATGATATTGATTAGTTACAAACACATGATATTGTGTACATGGGGTAAAAGGGCATTTACAGCATGGATACAAAATTGCCTAAGTGATAGGAGGCAAAAAGTTATGATAATTGTGTACTTTTTTCAGTTAGAGGGAGATATATGCAGTGAAGTTCACCAGCATACACAATAGGACCAGGGCTGTTTTTGATGTACATTAAAATTTGAATTTGAGAATATACGGCACAATTTCAAAATTTGCAGATGCCATGAAATTTGGAACTGTATCAAAGACAGAGAAAGCTGGTAATAAGGTTCAAAAGGACATCGCAGGCCAGAGGAATGGTTGGACATATGGCAGATGAAATTTAATATGCAGAAGTGGGTTTGATACATTTTTGGAGGAAGAATGAGAAGAGACCACACAAGCTGGACAGTACAATTTTAAAGTGGATGCATGGATAGTGAGAGCAGCAAATGCTTGTGCATAAATCTGTGACATGCTAGGTTAGCATTTAAACATAAGGGATACCAGGCTTTTCAAATACGAGGCTAAACATCCATATAATACTCGATGCAGCTGGAGTATTGTGTCCAATCTGGGCAACACACTTCAGGAAAGATGTGAATGTTTTGCAGAGATTTGCTCGAATAGTTCCAGAGATTGGGGATTGCAGTTATGTAGCCTAACAAGACAAATTGAAGTTGCTTTCCTTTTAGCAGAGAAATGGAAAGTTTACAGAATAATTTACATGGACCATATAAAGAGAAAATGCATCCAGTGGCTGAAGGATCAGTAATGTATAAGCAATGAAATATTTAAGCTGATTAGCAAAAGAAAAATTGAACTAATCTCTTTTTCTCAAAAAGTGTTTGGGATTTTATTTCTTCTGCCTGATAGCATGTGGATATAGATTCAAAAGTGGTTTTCCAAAGATAATTGGATAAATATTTGAAGGGGAAAAATTTGAAAAAATGAAGAAAAAGTTAGGAAGTGGAATTAACAGGTTAGCCTTTCAAATGAGCCAGTACAGATTCACGGGGCTGAATGGCCAGCTTCTTCGCTGTGCTATTCTAAGATTTCATGTCCTGAAGTTTAAGACAAGTAATGGATAGATTTGCGTAGGATCCGATTGGTTCAGAGGTGTAGCTAAAGTCCAAAGAAGCTGTTTCTTAACCCAAAAACCCACCTCTGGCCCATCCATTTCCAGTTTTACCTGTATCTAGAAGTTGGCCAGGTAACCAAACAAGTAGGTTGCAATTTTAAAATGCTGTGATCCTCACTGTTATTCTATGTTTTGAAATGGAACTGCTGTTGACTAGGTTAACTGAGAGTTAGGTAACCCAACTTAAGCTCCTTTAGGTGAAGGCTTTGTGGATTAAGGATGAAAATGCCTTTACATCAAACTCCTGAATACAAATGGCTGCCTGAGGAGCCTCCATCTTTGAGCCCCTTCCCTGAAACAACCTTTTCCTTTAGACTTATGATCTACACCCAAACGCCATTAATTCCTATTCCACAGCAGTCACCACCTCCAAATTGGTTCTCAATTTCATATTCAAACTCTATACTCCCCGACCCAACTAAGGGCTACGTTTCTCCCTGCTGAGGCCTTAGATTCTTAGGTTCTAAGCTACTCACAATCAAAACCTCCACGAGGATTGGCAAATTTCATGAGCAAATACTAAATAATGAACCACACCCAAATTACCCAACCCTACCCAATCAGCTCACATACTCCGTCAATGTCCAGCTTCAAAATTAGATCCGCCCCTCTTATCCTGGCTCAGGCTAATTAACCTGTTGCTTTGTCGTCAGTGACCAGTTATATTGCCTGACTGGAGGCTCAAAAATTAATCAGGTCTGGTCCGCAGATGGGAAACTCATCATACACTTTTGAGATGAGCATGCAGAATCTTGCACACTTCCCTATGACACATTTGATGGTAATGGAGGCATTTAATCAAGTGGATAGGTGGAAGATGGGGACTTTGTCATCTTACTGGATCATCCCACATTGATGGACAGTGATTTATATTCTGTAAATGAGAATGTGTGAGGGGAATTTGATTTGTAACAGCTATTATTTAAATGAAAACAATCATGTTAAAAAATCTATTGTGCAATATATGGTAATAACATATCATTGCCATTTCAGGAATTTAAGACAAAAATAGATGACAACATTTTTGTAAACAACCATCAAATAGTTTTGCTGATTCCTTTATGAGGTGAAAATAGATGGTAATAAGGCGAATGTGCTTATTCCAATATCATTTCAATTTTGCTGCACGTTAATGGTTACATTAAGACATAGTGGAAAAATAATCAAAAAAGTCAAGATTTCTGCAGCTAAGTATATATCAGTGCAAGCACGTTACTTTTGTTTTCCTCCTTAATCTCAGTTAGCTGCCCCTTCCCCTTGTTGTGGACAAAGGGGAAATGGGTTAATTTAAATTATGAGGGTTTTGTTTCTCTTCAGCCAGAGTCACCATAGCATTATTTGCTTTACTCCCTTCCCTTTTTACTCTCGTCCCTTACTGAGGTACTCTGAAGAGTTCCTCAAACCCTGGTTTTTGGATTTCAACTTTTGAAATAAACCCACAGCAAAATCCTGTAAAATGAAAACCAAGGTTGGGTTTATTTATTAACAAAACATTCAAAACTCAAAGAACTGCTTCGCTGCTTCATTCACATGCAGTCATACAAGGTAGAAAGATAAAATAAGGGAAGTTCCAAAGAGCTTCTTAAAAATACAAAGATGTTGAAATCAGTTTATGCAACAGTGTCCAGTGAGTCAATACACAATTTGGAGTCTGCAAGTGGCTGATCTTATCACAGTTCTTTTCCTGGGAGCTGTGGTTCTGATGGGTGGTAGTCAAAGATACCAAATTCAATTTGGCAGATAAAGTTTGAGATTCTTTCTCGTGATGAGACTTTTCAGGGAGAGAGAGAGGTGGAAAGTAGGTCCAGCTGCTCTGGTCTGGAGCTGCTCCTCTTGTGACATTAAAACAGCATCTGCAGTCAAAAGTCAAAACTGTACATTTAAACAATTGAGTATGCAATGGGTACCAGTCATGTCCCAGAGTGGTTTTTGCTGAACCAGTCAGCCAAGGAAGGCATTTTGATCGTCCTCATCAAAATGGTCATTGTGAGGTGAAGAGATGAGGGTTCATCTCAGTGGCCAATTGTCAAGTCATTAACATCTTGGTATCAAACTGTGGTGATTTGCAATTAATAGTTAAATACTGTGGATGCTGGAGATCAGACCTGGAAACAGAAAAATGCTGCAGAAACTCAGTAAGTTTGGTAGTATCTGTGGAGAGAGAAGCAGAGTTAATGTTTCCAATCTGAAGAGTTTTTATTGGATTGACAATCGCTTTGTGTCATGGTCTTCGTGGGAATCGAGAGGTTTCAAGGCAGCTTATTATCACAACATGTACCAGGCTAAATCTCCAGGAGCTAAAGGACTAGCTGGTTTTGACTCACAGGAAACTCTGGAGGCTTCTAGCTAATTCCAGTCATGTGATTGTAGTAGCTATCTTAAGGCCCCAGTGGTGTTGACCATTTGTTTCTTAAAAAAGATTGAAACAGGAGAATCATAAGAGGATATAGTTTTAACACAAAAGCAAAATATGAATTCTCTTCATGCACCCTTGTCATTACATCCCCATAATGAAGAAAGTTTACATGAGTATTGGTTTAGTCTCCATTACTTGACTAAGTGGCCACTATTTATGTGAGCCCAGATGTTGCATGCCTGCAGGTTACTCGATCCTCTAGGAGTCACAGCTGAGTTAGTCTAAGCCTTAAACAACTCTCCATGCAGTAGATCACTGGATAAATATTAGAGGTGGAATTTAATCATTGTGACAGGGGTCCCACTGGCAGATCCATGGGACAGAGATGGGCAGCCGCACACAGTCATGTGACAGCCTGTCAAATAATGAGCACAGGGTGTGGGGCCCACCACAGGGCAGGAGTCAGGGTGGAAATACCAAGGGCAGCTAATGGATGTGCAGGTGCTGGCACCATTTCTAAAGAGCAGCTAGCCCAACCTCTAAAGCTTAAATGCCCCTTTAAAATCTTCACAGAAAGTGAATTTGAGATTGAAAGAAAAATCTCACAGCAGCACAATTTTTGACGCTAAAAGGATGTTTTTATCATGTGGGAGGCATGAGAACTAGTTGAAGAATAAAAGGTCACCAATTGAAGATGGAGATGAGGAGAGCGTGGAGTGTTTTAGGAACTGTCTACCCCAGGGAGCAATGGGAGTAGGACATTAAATAATTTTAAGGTAAAGTTCGATAAATACTCGATTAATAAGGGAGTCAAGATTATCAGGAGGCCACAGTCATCTCAGCCACGTTTCTTATATGGTAGAGCAAGTTCAAGGGGCTAACTGGACTATGCTTACTCCCAATTCATATGTTCGTACGCACACTTGATCTTTGAAGGCATCTCGGAGTATGGATCTGAAAACTCAAGAGTCAAAATCAGCATCTGGTACCTTCAGAAAGACAATGAGCACTGTGAAAAACAGGACCAAGTACACTTAAGAGTACACAGAGCATAGCTCCACAGTTTGGCAATGCCTCCCTGCTTGTCTTCCTTTGGGGAGTCTGAGGGTGATGGGGAGTCTTGATCCCAGCTGACTGAAGGAACAAACTCACCTGCCTAACCCAGAGAAGCTGGTCAGAGGTTTCAGTGAAGACAGATAGCTGTGGGGTGCATCAAAGAGACTGGGCCTAGTTCAGGAAGAGGTTGATTAACACATGAGTGAGTTTGAATATTGTTGCATATTGTTGTTACACAAGGCAGAAGTGATGGGTCTCTAATTGGAGGGAATCATAAGGGCAGTCATGCATTAACCTGTTCCTTGCAACAGATGTCTTCGCAGGAATAGTCGCAGATGGATGACAAGTCTCTTTTTTTCAGTGACAGAGTCCTCCAAGTCCTATGGCAGTGGATGTGTGAGAGAAATAAACTCAAGACTCTATCATGGAATGAAACAGGGCAGCTGACAAAGGATAGATCGCATCATGCTCTGGAGACTTATGCTCACTTTTTACCTGCAAGAAAAGAGGGCCCACAGCAAGTATGAAAGAGCAAAGATAGGAGGAGGAACACTAGACAGCTGAGTTCTGATTCCTTTCCAATATTCTAACCTGTATTAACTCAGGGATTGATATGGTTTACGAATTGACTAATTTAAAATAGCTTTTTAAAAGATTGGTGGGATGTGTTTACACAATCAAGCCTTACAAGCCGGGCAACAATTTGCAGAGCAACACAAACAGTACACTAACAGAAGTTGCTGGAAAAGCTCAGCAGACCTGGCAGCATCTATGAAGAAAAAATCAGAGTTAACATGTTGAGTTTGGTGCCTCTTCCTCAGGTCACTGGACCCGAAACGTTAATTCTGATTTTTTTCTTCACAGATGCTGCCAGATCTGCTGAGCTTTTCCAGCAACTTCTGCTTGTGTTCCTGATTTATAGCATCCACATTTCTTTCGGTTTTTATTATGAACAGTACACTTTTGAGTTCTCCAACCTTTTCACTTCTCATGCCATAGCTGGACAGCAGAGCACACTTTCAGTCTGGTCTTCACTTACCGTACTGTCTGCTGGGTCCAAGTTCTTCTCTTCTCCACTATTCAGACCTAGGTGTGACAGCTCCTGTTATGTCAGTTCTCTCCTCATTGCTCCTGCACTTGGAGTCAATCCTAAATTTCTCAACCTACATTACAAATGAATCATACTGTCAATGGTTGTGCATATGAACAATGTTGATGCATCGCAAACAGCAATGTCTGTTAAACAGTATTACAAACCATAACTCCATGAAAGCATATTCCTTAATAACACATCGTTAGTAGTAGGTTAGTAGGTTTTTGTTTTCCCCAAGTCCTCTGCTCTTCTAAACTCACACCATTTGGCTAATTTTAATAACTCCTATTCATAGTTGTCTTGGCAACTGTGTTTCTAAAACTGCGTAAGCAACAAAATAGTCATTAACATGATCAACCAACAATAGCAGTAACAACAACAGCCTATATTCATCTTCACCTTTAACATAACGAAAAATCCCAAGATGCTTCACAGGTGCATTATAAAGCAAAGTATACTACAGTGTAATCATAAGAGGGCATAGTTTTAGGGTAAGAGGTACGAGATTCATAGGGAATTTGGGGAAAAAAAACCTTTTCACTCAGCAAGTGGTGGGAATCTGGAATGCAATGCCTGGGAAAGTAGTGGAGGCTGGACACCTTACAACCTTTAAAAATTATTTGGATGAATACTTCGTATACCATAACATTCAAGGATATGGGACAAGTGCAGGAAGTTGGGATTAGCGCACTTTTGATGTCAATTATGTCAGTGCACACGAGATCGGCCAAAGGGCCTTTTCGCTGCTGTATAAATCTATGAACCAAGCCACAAAGGAAATCTTAGGTGAGATGACCAAAGCTTGGTCAAAGTTGTAGGTTTTAAGAAGTGTCTTCAAGGAATAAAGTGAGGCAGAGAGGTGGAGAGATGTAGGGCAGGAATTATATTGCTTGCAGCTTGGACAATGGAAAGCATGGACATGAATGATGAAAAAATTATGAATGGCAATGCTCAAGAGGCAAAAATTAGATGAAAGCGGATGTCTCAGAGCATTTTGTGGCTGGAGGATGTTGCAGAAAGTAATGGTTCTGAAGGGGTTAATGTTAAATTGACTCCATCATTCTACTGATGACAAACAAAGGCTGTGGGTAAAGACATGGAGTTCTCCACCAGCTTTCAGAGGAAATGGACGTATGCATGTGTATTCATAAACCAAGGTCCTAGTAATTGTGCCTGACCAAATATTGTTGAATTTATTGCTATGGACAATAAACCATCTTTTGTATTAAATATACTCTTGTTTTCATTCATGGGATGTGCATGCTGTTGGCTAGGACAGAATTTATTACCTATCTGTCATTGTCCTGGAGAAGATGGTGGTGAGATATTGTCTTGAACAACTGCAGACCTTGGGGTATCGGTACATCCACATTGCTGTTAGGAAGTTCAAGGATTTTGACCTAGCAACAGTAGGGGAACACTGTTCCAGTTCCAAGCCAGGATGAAGAGTAGCTTGGAGGGGAACTTGGTGGTCTTTCCATGTATTTGCTGCCTTTGTCCTTCTAGGTGGCAGAGATCACAGGATTGGAAAGTGCTGTCTATGGACATTTGGTGAGTTACTGCATTGCAACTAGTAAATGGTACCTACCGTACATCGGTAATGAAGGGAATGAATAATGTTTTGTCCAGAATGGTGTCAAACTTCCTGAGGGTTGGTGGAATTGCACCTATCCGGGCAAGTAGAGAGAATTCCATCAAATGCCTGACTTGAGGCTTATAGGAAGTGGACAGACATTGGGAGTTCAGGAGTTGATTCATTCACTGCAGAATTCATAGCCTCTGAACTGTCTTGTAGCCATTGTATTTATTTGACTAGTCCAGTTTAGTTTATGGTCAATGATAACCCCCAAGATATTGATAGTGGGGAATTCAGCAATGGTAATGCCATTGAGTAACAAGGAGAAATGATTAGATTGTCTCTTGTTAGAGGTGGTCATTGCCTGACATTTGTGAGGTGTAAATGTTACTTGCCACTTATCAATCTAAGCCTAGCTCTTATCCATCTCTTGCTTGACATATAATGCTTCAGTATCTCAGGTGTTGTGAATGGTGCTGACCATTACGTAATCATTAGTGAACACCCCATTTATGAAATTATGATAGAGGGATGCGCTATCAAGTTATGAAGTAGTTAAAGATTGTTGGGCCAAGGGACCTACCCTGAGGGATTCCTGAAGTGATGGCTGAGATGTTTGACTTCCAACAACCACCTTCCTTTCTGCAAAGTTTGACTCTAACCAGCAGAGTGTGTTCTCCTGATTCCCACAGACTCATTTTGCTAGTGCTTGTTGATGCCATATTCTGTGAAATTCTACCTTGATGTCATGGGCAGTCACTCTCACCTCACTTGTATGGCAATTTATCTTCTACACTCACTAGTTAGGTGCTATACAAAACTGCTGGACTAGCCTGGAGTCTCCAGGGAATGGAAATCAATCTCTAGGACATGACAGTGTGCAACCTTGGAGACACTTCACAGGAATATTATAAAGATTGTTTTTATTTTAACATTTTCTTTGAATATTTCTCTTTACTACATGTAAAATTATTGAAAATGGGGCTAAAAAAGACTGATTGACATTCCGACACCATCCATTGAGGTATAAGGATGGATGTGATGGCTGATTAATGGCTGGGGCATGGGGAACAAACATGTGATGAAATGTTCAGCAACATATTTAATTATAAATGGCAACCTTAAAATTAATACTGTTTCTCTCTCTTCAGATGCTGCCTGACCTTTTGAATATTTCCAGCAATTAGGGCTTTCATTCATGTTTCCATCATCTGCAATAATCTCTTCTCCAATATTTCTTTGCCTCCCCACCCACAATTTCCATACTTATCTTTACTTATTCTTCCTCCATATCCGAAATCCCCAACTGCCCGCACTGCTTGAAGGGCAAAGAAGTCTCTGACTGCCTCCTGTACTAACTGGCCATTGTATATCTGATACCTACTCAACCTCTTCTTTAGCAATATTCAAAGACTGAGCTTCCTCCCAGGGTAGAGAATTCCAAAGATTCACCATCCTTCGAGTAACTCTGAACTGCTTTCTGAAATAACCTTGCAAGTCAGTCAGCTCAAGGGCAAATAGAAATAGGCAATAAACCTTGGTCTTGCCAGTGACACCCATATGGCCTTGAGAGGATGAAGGACTTACTCCAGCTTCTATTTACTATATTCCTTGATCTATATGTCAATATTGTCACTTAATTAAAAAAAATACAACTCATCATGATCAATGCCTTCTGAATCCATTACGTGTTTGTTTCTGCATGTTACTTATGCATGTATCCAGGTTACTTCTTTCTACGTTGACATAAACATTTGGTTTAATTTTAAACACGTTTGTCTGTGTTGGAAAGGAATAGTTCAAACATCATTATGCTATAAGAATTATTTTTTGCCATCTTGCACACAACTCAATTTGCCCCATACTCAAAAGAAATGATCCTTTCCACCATTTCAATCCCCAGCTTCAGAAATAGCTAATATTTAAGAATAAAAAAGGAAAGGGTCCCAGTTAAATTATCAAATTCTGATAAAAACAATAAATCTTTCTTTTAGAGTGAAACAAAGCGGACAAATTAATTCTGCAGTCAGGCTATAAATTATCTCCAAAGTGCTCATAAGCTAAGCAGTGTGAGACATCATTGGGAGAACCATCTTAAATCATACGGGTTTGTTATTATGTAGGGCATGTGTCCAGTGCAGTCAAGTAGGTTTAAAAAGTGCTTAGGTAGCCAGTTGGATTTTTACAACATTTATAAACATAAGCAGAATCCGTTTTAATACTGTGATGAAGTAATGGATCTATATGTGCATCTAAGGAGAACAGATTGAGATGTATTATCAAGCAAAACAAAACCAAGATATCTACTGCCTATGCACCATGCCCTGTATGTAACTCAGCCTGGAAACTCAGTGCAACAAAAGTGCAAAATAAAAACAAATTACACCCATCAAATCAACAGAATAGTACATTTTAATTTGCATGATTTTGTTTCACTGTTTAGATGAAACAATGTTACCCACTTAACTGCTGAATTATATTATCAATCTCTGTTGTGGGATTAATATCTGTGAAACCCATCAACATTTAAAAGCTAACTTAATTAATTAAATATTACTTGCACTGAGGCACTGGCTGTTTTAAAGGAAATAATGGTAAAAGAGTTACTGCGCAGAATTAAATCAGGATGTGTCATATATGAGTCACAGAATTGGTACAGCGCAGGAGGAGGTAATTCAATCCATTGTGTCTGCACCAGTTCTCCAAATAAGCGTTTCATTTACTGCCATTCTGCTGCCTTCTCCCTGTAATCTTGCACATTGTTTTCAAATAGCCATCTACCTTGCTTTCAAATGCCTCAATTGAATCTGCCTCCACCACATTCTCACATCGCGCAGTCCAGATCACAACCACAGGCTGTATGAAAAAAGACTTTTCTTCATATCATATTTGGTTCTTTTCTGGTCAACACCACTTTAAATCTGTGCCTTCATATTCTTGATCCTTTAATGAGTGGGAACATTTTTTCCTTATTTACTCCATCAAGACTTCTCATGAGAGGTCTCAAAATCAACAGTGTGTGGTTTACTTCTGAGCCTTATTATCTCCCTGATGTTAAATTAGCAGCCTCTATAAACCTGGTTTTCAGTACTTCTTTTTACCTCATTAGCTGCTTATTCACCATTAACACCCTTAAGTAATTTTAAAACCCTGTCTATCCAAAGCCAGATTATTTGTGTCATATCTGAGGAGTTGTGCAATATAAGTTCCAACATGTCAGAAGGGGATACATGAGACTTTTACTTGTTTTATTAGTATGATCATAGTAACTTTTAATCTTTTTCATTCATGTCTCCTCTCAACAATTTCTCTCAATTCTTCCATCTCTCTGCACCATGCCTTTGTTAAACTGAGCTTACTGAGTTATGCCCTACGCTAATGTGTTCATTCCCAGAATCTCAAGCTTGTAAAATTCCTTACTTTTATTATTTGTCATCCCTGAAACTACTTGATTTTAAAATTCCAAAAAAATTATCATCTGACCATTTCTTGAT